ATGGTCGAGCATCAGCACAGAAGCAGTGAACACACTACACCACATGCCACAGATTCAAGTTGCAATCATCCCCCCCCCGCCCCCGACCGGCCTCCCCGCTCCTTCCCAAGGAAGCACATCCCCACGGGTTCTCGGAACAACAAAAATGAATAAATTAAAAAAATAAAAAGGAGGTTCATTCTCTCCCAGTGAAAGGAAACACTTACACAACCACAGACTGACCAGCCAAAGCGTGGCAAGCTGTCGCTGACGGTGGATAAAGGGCATGCTGTCCTCTCCCACCTGCTTAGGCTCCACCTCTTGGCTGCTCGAGGCACCAGAACCCTGCCTCTCAGGCTCAGGCTCCTGCTCCTCCTCCTCCTGCTCCTGCTCCTGCTCCTCCTCCTGCTCCTCCTCATCCTCCTGCGCCTGCGCCTGCTCCTGCGCCTGCTCCTCCTCCACCACCACCTGCTCTCCCTGGCCCTCCGGCTCCGCATGCCTGTAAAAACAGTTCTCACCGAACGGGCAGCAATCCCTGACTACAGCGAAATACCTGCAGGTCTTGGCGCGCATGGCCTCCTTGTACTGCCGGGTCAGTTCCTGCTTCGCCGCCGGATCCTCCACCCAGAACTCGCTGGGGATGACCAGGCGCGAGGAGACCCTGCACTGCGGGCAGGATTTGATCACCCTGCTCCTAAACTCCCGGGCCGTCCTCCACGTGCGGATGCACCGGAGGCAGTAGGTGTGGTTGCAGTTGGAGAGGATGCCGAAGCGGCGGTCGCCCTCGTTGGCCTTCTCGTAGACCACCTCCATGCAGATGCCGCACACTTTGTCGGCGCTGCGCTGCACAGCGAAGGACAGCTCCATATCCTGCTGGTGGCGGTTCATGCAGGCCTGGATGTGGTCTGCCCTCTGGGCGGCGTCCGCCGGGTGCAGCGCCTGCCGCCCACACAGCTCGCATAGCTCGCCGTGGAGATACGCGCAGCTCTCCCCGCGGAAGCACTGCCCCATGGCGGCGTCACGGCAGAGCCGCCGCTCCCTTTCCATCTCCAAGTTCTGCTGGGGAAGGTCGGGGGCGGGGAACGCCTCACGGCCCCAGTACGGTTGCCCCGGAACAAATTCAGTGGCATTCGCCCAACCTTGCGCACCGGCTGCCCGGCCTTCTGCACCGGCTGCCCAGCCTTGCGCACCGGCTTCCCAGCCTTCTGCACCGGCTGCCCAGCCTTCTGCACCGGCTGCCCAGCCTTGCGCACCGGCTTCCCAGCCTTCTGCACCGGCTGCCCAGCCTTCTGCACCGGCTGCC